GGGCCGTGGGGCAAGGCGGGCCGTGGGGCAGGCGGGCCGTGGGGCAGGCGGGCCGTGGGGCAGGCGGGCCGTGGGGCTGGGCCTGCCAAACGGGCCGCGGGTTTGCAGTAGGTGACGTGACAGCTGCCTGGACAGGATCATCCTGCTTTGCATTCGCTTGTCCGTGTTGTACTTGGTTTTGAATTGGTGGCCATTTATACACATTTGTAACTCTAATTGTCATTGGTTATTAGTGATGTTTAATGAAAAGCTTGCATACTTAAAAATCTCACTAACTGCATAAAATTGGATAAGCTTTGTGGCAATGAAATTGAGCTTCCTTTTCTTTCGTTAGTGCTACGTGAAAGATGTCATCCAACGACTTGCAGAGGCCTTTCCTTCAGGATGTTTGCTTCCCTCTTTCCCGCTATTGATTTTGTTGATGTTTAAAGGGACAGTGTCAGTATTTAAATGGAAATTGTAATGTTAACGTTTGAATTTCAAGTTGCCGAATGCAGTATGGATCAGCCCTTATGTTTTACCACCAGGCTTTGTGTTTATAGATGGGACATGTTCCTGAGTTAAATTAAATGCATTTAAGAACGTCCTCATCCCTGATTTTTCTCTTTAAGATCTGGGTCAGTCACGGGGTAAATTTGTTCAGGTATGCGTAAGGTTTGTTTTGGACGGTTTTCAGTAAACAAACGTTCTTTAGAATTTTGCTTTACGTGCAACTGGGATTAGTGACCAATAAAGGGATTTTAGGAACTGGAGAAAATCTGTAATGAGCATGGTCAGTTGTAAATTAGAATCCACTCTGTAGATTATGTTTTTTGGCCACATTTTATTGTTGCGTATACTAAATAATTCCAGTTACTTCAGTTGAGTAAAATCAGTCTAAATCATCTTAGCATCTTTATCTAATAGTCTAAAAATATACTGTTTCCTTTTTTAAGAAAAAGTTTTGCTTTTCAGTCATTATTATATGTGAGAGTGTAACAGGAGTTTACTAGCCCACCAGAGTCCCTGTGAGCGTTACAGGCATGGTGGGTGTATGGCAGCGGTTTTGTCAGAGGTAACTCGGCCTTATTTCAGGAAGCTTTTAAAGGAAGATGAAGCAGCCTGCAGTGTTACCCACGAAAAATCTGCAAAAAGTTTTCAAAACCGACGTTTTTAATGGATCAGGGCAGAATCCCAAAGCCCGTGCAGCAGAGCAGCCCGGGGAGCCTGCCCGTGCTGTGGTGCCTGCTGGGGGGCTGGCCCTGCACCCCCCAGGACCCGGCTGGGGAGAACGGGGAGCAGGCCAGGGGAAACTCTCCCGTCAGGTGATACAGCTCTTCTGCTCAACAGAGCACAGCCAGCTGCTAGAGTAGTATTGCCATTTGCAGTGAGGCTGTATGCCAGACTTGTTTTGCCTGAGTTCAGAAGCTGTGATGCCCGATATTAGTTTTATGTGCTCAAACGCTTTATCAGAGGGTTCATAGACCTTTTAGAGGTGTGTGCAAGAACGCAAAAGCTTCTGCGTAGGTGATCAGAGGAAGAGACAATGGACAATGCATTCCCTTAGGCAAAAAATCAGTTTCTTAGCACTCCTCCAAAGGAGAAATAGAATAGTGCTGTAGAGCCTACTACTACAGCCTAGACTATCACTGCAAAGTGGCTTTTCAGATTAAGCATCTGCTGTTATTTTATGCCCACACTGAAATAGGACTGCAGTAAGAGCCTGAGCCAGTGCTTATTAGTGGAAAGATTCCCACTGAATTCAGTGGGCTTAAGCACAAACCTTATGTGACTGTTTTGAAATAAAGCATAACATGGGCAAGAAACCAGTTTTGATTACAAGCCTGTAAAATAAAACAACAAATAAGCCTACTTTAAAATTTCATGGTGTAAAAGAACTGATGAAAAACCACCAATCCATTGTATGTTAAAGCATTTAATATTCTAAGCATTTCAGTGCTTTATGTTAATCATATTTTGTCCATAGGGGCCAGGAGAGTGCTGGAATTGTGACAAGTGATGGAGAGTCATCCCAGGCATTCAAAGTCCACAAGGTAAAATGTAAATGAATGTTTTGCAGATGCCTAGCTGAGATGCATGAAAGTTTGTTTCAGCTAGGAAACAAAATAATTAGAGGGAAAGTAACATGTTTTGATGGACTGTTTGGTTTTGTCAAGGACAAGATCTAATTCTGTTACTTGTGCAATTTCTGTCATAAATGCCTGTTTAAACAAATACGCCAGTGTTACCCTGTTGGATGTATCCGTATGCACAGTGCCAGACCCACAGAAGTATCCAGATCAGGCTACTGATGTTACAAAAACTACTTACCAAAGTCACCCCACAGCTAAGGTGTTAACTCTGGAGCACCGATGCAACCTGAGATCAGGGAAAAGAAATACGGTTACAGGCTGTGCACAAGCAAATGGATGACTAATTCTTGCTTAGTGAGACTCAAGGAAGTGGCAGCTACTTTACCCATAGGCAAAAATAAACAGAATAAAAGGCTGAATGGAGGCCTGAGAAGGTCACACAGTCTTTCTTGAGCTAAGAGAGTCCCAGGGGATGTTAAAAGACATAAAATGGCCATAGCCTTGAAAGTATTATGCCAAGAAAATACCTACATGCTCTGGTGATATTTCTCTCATCTTGTATTGAGTAGTGATCAGGAAAAAAGTCATCATCAGCCTATTCCATCCTGGAAGAGCAGAGAAATAAAGAAGAGCAGGAAGGAAAGAAATAAGGAAGAGCGGGAGATAAAAGTACATTAGCAAAATAACCATGGGACAATTCTTGATGCGTGCTTCCTGACCACAATCACAGAGCAGTTTGTCTTCATGTTCAGAGGTCTCTGAGGAAGATTAATTAAGCAGTTCAAATGAGTCAAAAAATAAGAACTGCTTTGCTGCAGCAGCATGTATATCTATGCATGACTGCTCAATGTCTCACACAAGATCTCATCTCATCAAGCATCATGTTTGTCGTCTCTTCAGGCATTTCCCCCCTCCTATCTGTTACTTACAGCCTGATTCACACACACATACACACACTTTTAAATGCAGCTTTTCTCAACTTCAGCAACATGTTATCTGTTCTTCATTCCTGCTCCTGCTTGGGTTTCAGCTTTCCTTAAGATTTACAGGAATTCCAGCATCCTTTAAAGTGAGATGCTGTATATATCCTGTAGTAAAAAGAATTTCCCAGAATGAACTTCCAGCAGGTGATATCATAATTTGTAGTGCTTCCATGTTACCGAGCTCAATACTTAGCTGTCATGCTAAGAATTTAATTGACTATCTCGTCATACTGGCTTTGATATTTGAAGAGTTGCAGAGCATGTGATGGTTTCTTTTATCCTTGAAATTAATTTCAGAGCTACAGCACTTTTAAAATCTGTAAGAACCACAGTGTAATAGCGAGCCTGTGGATTACAATTTATATGACTTGTTTAATTCTGGAAGTGGTGCTAATGTAACAAACTGTTAAAATATACTGGTGAAAATATATTTAGGACTCTGACTTGTAAACTAGCCCATAAACATGTCAGAAGCTAAGATGCTACTGCATCCATTTGTCCTCCAAACTCTGGTTGACTCTTCTTCGTAGCAGAGACAACAGGATGGAAAAGGTGCCTGCTTCTCACTGCATTGATTTACTACCCAATGCTTCCATGCAAACTCACCTTTGCCAACAGTTGAAGGCAATACATACATTACAGTATGAACTGGAACACCTAAGGCATGGGTATGTGTTCCTGTCTGATTGTTGCCAGCCTTTGACCCCATATTAATAGCCCTTGACAAAGGCTATTAGTCCTTTGTTTTAAACTCTCCCAGAAAGACTCGTCCATATTTGTATGTGAGAAGCTTTCAGCTAGATTTGTATAATAAAACATTACAGTCGTAGTTCTGTTAGCTCAGGATGTGGAAAAACTTAAATCTCTTGTATAGACATAGCAATGTCAGTAGAAGAAAGACTTTGAATGTTTTACACTTGGGTATGCAGAAAAACATATTAAAGTAGCTATTCATCAGACCATTATCATGTTCTGGCATGTACCAGGCCTTGCATAATACAGACATAAGATTGTCTTCATTGGGAATTTTTTATAGTGTGTGTAATTCACATTTGCCATCCCACACCATTGCAATCTAAATCAGAGGAAACGGCAATTAAAGATTATGTACTTGTCTAACCAAATCTGGTTTAAAATGACATCACTTGTTTAAGCTATTGCAATGCTTAACATGGCCACATCCATGAGTACTGGACCTGTGAACTGGCAGATGTCCTGTTAGTTGGTCTAAGTAAAGTAAGAGTTCATGGTTGCATTTCTGTACATATAGGATCACATGACATAGACTCTAGACCACCTTTATGTCATCTGTGAGACAACAGATGATAATAAATCTGGCATAAAGTTTGCTGAACAATTAAAGCAAATTTATATCAGTTTGTCAGTCTGAGGCAGTGATTTTTGAATGTGATAGTTAAGTATCCTAAAACCACATGTGCAACCACAGCCTCTTGGTATTCTGACTCTATAGCAGTCACAGCAGAAAATACCCTAAAGCTGAGCTTTCTTTAAGCTTTTCTGATTGTGCTCTGAAAACAGTTCAACCAATTTTCATCCTTCCTGTTGCAGCCCACTCTCTTGTACCTACAGCACAGGTTATGAACCATTCACAGCTTCAGAGCTCTCCTGCATATCTTTGAAAGTGCTAAGGAGTGTTATTGTGTATATCACAATTACCATGTGCGATAGGGAAACTGAGTATAGAAGGATGTAAATATTTTCCACAGGCAGCGGCAGAAGCAGGAGTCTGTAGGAGGGCCTGGAATCCAATCTTAATTTCTACTCTGTGCAGTGTTTTCAGACTATTCTTGCTGCTAAATTTCCTATACATAGTGCTTATTGCCAAAAGAAGATCCTGACAGCTGACTAAAAAGTTTTGATGCATTTCTGCTTTAGATAGAAGGCAGATTGGCTGTATGAAAAGTTTGTTTTAAGTAAACAATAAAACCTCTTGAAAAAAACTTTGCTTCTGTCATTGGCCAGAATGACAGTAGAATCTAATAAACATTATCATGGACCCAGTATAAAAGTAAATCCAGTATACTGCTAACTTGTAAAAGGTATTCTCTACATAGAATTTCCTTCTCACAACTTTTTTTCTTTATCTGTCTTCTGGCAGTCTTTTTCCTGATGCTTTTAAGCAACATAACAGTTTGGTAGTGTCTTTCAGAAGATGTATTTTTAGTCAGGGAATAGATTGTTCTATGAAAATCCTCAGCACGGAAATGTATATATTGCTTTATTTTAGAACAAGAGTAATGGGATCTGATATATCACCATGACATCTACTCAGCTTCTTCCCATGTCTTTCAGGTTATTTGCCTTTCTCTTAAAGTTGCCTGCATTAATACTGTACCCAAACCAAACATGAAAAATGAGGAAATTGCCAGGAAAACAAAAACAAACAGAACTTTTTCTTTTTCTCCCAAAGGGAATGGGGCTTATAAATCATGTCTTCAATGCAGACAGCCTGAAGAAGTTGTACGTTTCAAACCTCGGTATTGGCCACACAAGATACTCCACCTCAGGAATTTCTGAGCTGCAGAACTGCCAGCCTTTTGTGGTAGAGACTCTTCATGGGAAGATCGCTGTGGCACACAATGGGGAGCTAACAAATGCTGTACGACTCAGGAGAAAGGTTAGTATCTCCTTTGGGAGGCTCTGGCATCGTTTCTGAGTAAGAGGCATCAATGAGCAGTAAGTTTGTCCTGACTTTTCCTTAATATCAAACTGCTTGGGGTAGTGAAAGAGCCCTATAATCAAAATAGATCATTTGGGGAGAAAAAAGTCTTGGGGAGGGGAGGCATTTGTAACTGTCACAAGATACTTCATGAATGATTTAGGCTGATGGTTACATTCCTATTGATTGAGTGAGAAAACTAACTCAGCCACAAAAAAAAGGTGGCTTTGCTTGCAACTTCACTCCTTTTTGGTGGCTGATAGAAGGAGCAAATGATATGCTTTAGGAGAGTCATAATGAGGTGAGGTAATTTTAATATGAAATGTCTGGTATGGAATATTGTATTTTTGTTTGGAATATCTGTATTCTGTCTTGCAAAATTAATCATGACCACTGTCAGGACATACACCAACAAATGCCAGATTTTATAGTGTTTGTCTAGAAGGATGTGTGTGAAAGAACCAAATTAAAATTTAGCAGATGATTCATTGCGAAATCTCTTCTATGATATGTTCCATTCAAAAATGAGAGGACATACTCTTGCATTGAAGCAAGGCAAATGTATGGCATGCCCAAAAGAACATAGCCTTCTTTAATCAGAGCCACACGTATATGAATGGATGGGGGGAAAAAAAACAGTGGTGAGGAAATGTAGATGGAGAGTGAAGAATCAGAGTTACATGAGATGTAAAATGATTTCTAAAGATAAAAATTAGGAACTGTAATTCATACAGCACTGAATGGGTTGTAGTAATTGGCTAGATACACTGCAGATTCTCTTCTCCATTAGAAGCATAAATATGCCAAGACAGAACAATTTGACTGACTAGATCTAGAAAACTTTAAATTGTGGGATTTCAGTTTTTTAATCCCACTCTGCTTCTCTTCACACCTCTTTTTTTTTTTTTTTTGGTTGTTGTTGCTTTATGCCCAGACCACCATTCTGCCTTGATATCTCTTTCGGTAACTGCTATAGGTAATTTCATATTTTACTTCTCTTCACAGAACAAGCATAAGCACAAAGCTGATTAAATGGCCCAATCATTAATTTATGCCCTTAATATTGGTGGTATTAATTTTGCTTGCACATGGAGCAAAGAAATGAGATGCAAAGGGAGAAATGTGGTACCAGACATAGATGATTGTACCAGCTTTTTTTACATATTTCGTTTGTTGGAAGAAATCTGACGTTATTATGACCTGATCCCCTGAAGCACTGATGTTCTAAAACATCTGTTCGCTGCACAAAGGTGGTGTTAGGTTAAAATCCAAGCAGGGCTATGTGGGATTTTTTTTTAATGTTGGTAACACTTTTGTTTTGTGTCTTAAAAGCTTATGCGGCATGGTGTAGGACTGTCGACCAGTTCTGACAGTGAACTGATCACCCAGCTGCTGGCTTTCACACCTCCTCTAGAAAATGATGATACAGCCGACTGGGTAGCAAGGTGAGGAGGATGGGTTTTCAGAATCAAAACCCGCAATCTAATCTCAGCAAGATATACAGCTGTAAATTCACACAGCTGTTTGTGTGACACACAATTATGTTCACCTATGTCTCGTTTCAGAATAAAAAATTTAATGAATGAAACTCCAACTTCATATTCATTGCTAATTATGCATAAAGACATAATCTATGCAGTACGTGATCCGTACGGGAATCGCCCACTCTGCATTGGTCGCCTTATTCCAGTAGGGGACATGAATGGAAAAGGTAAACCATACATATATATTCATATACATATATATGTATATATATTGTTTGTGCCTGAAATCACTGATTAATTCAAGCTGCACTTAACAAGGTGTAAGTAGGAATATGTGATGCAAAAATCAGTTTTGAAAATGTAAACGAAAATACTAGAAAGGAAAAAAATTATTTCTAGGAAATCTGCAAACAACTTTTTGACTCCCAGCAAAAGACAATCCTAGTTGCCTGATGGCAGTGTCAGAAGTAGGCAGCCCAACTGTAATAGAATATTCTGTGCAAATTTAATTTGACATCTCATCACCTAAACAGGAAAGCAGGGATGAACAGAAGGGTTGAGGTTGGAAGGGACCTCTGGAGGTCATCTGATCCAAACCTCCTGCTCAGGCAGGGCTACCTAGAGCTAGTTGGTCAGGACTATGTCGAGTCCAGAAACAAGTCTTGTTTCTTCCTTTCTCCTGTACTAAGGTAGCTGAAAAGAGCTGCATTACTGGCAGTGTATTTCTAAATTCCGAGCACTTCCAGTCACATGTAGTAATGGTAATGGAACACTATACAATCAATTTATGGGAAAAATTATTTGTGTTCCTCTTTAGCCTGAGAGTCAACATTTTCCATGAAGTGAGATTAAAATCTGTTCATTTGTACAAAAATAAAATAAATCAAAGGCAAAGTAATAAATGCTTCTGTATCTTCACAAAACTTGGTAATTTTAACCACAAGAAAAATTATCAATATTTTTTAAAAGCATACAACCATTCCTACCCTATGTTACACAACTCAATCCTTCCTGTGCCTGTCTCTGAAAACTATCAACACATTTAGCATAGGAAAAGTAAGGAGTTTCTTGTGTGAACAAAAGTAATTATGTATATCTAAAGTCAATGAACTAGAATTGGAAAAAATTGAAAGAGTGCAGAGATAACAAAGGTAGTTACCTGAATTGTCTCTCTTCATGAACTGTGAATATGATCTGTTACTTCCACTTCTTCCTAGAACAGGTTTATGATGTTTACATTGTTTTGGGTTTTTTTAATATACTGTTACATAAACCATGGAATGCTATACCTTTTGGTTAGAAATTGCAACAGTCTTTAATTGTTCACTTGGCAAACTAAACCATAGCAAGCCAGATATTGCAGCAGAAATGCAACTGGGGGGGTGTGGTGTGTGTAATGGTAACAAGAATTGTGGACTCCAACTGAAATCTTTCATTTCAGGAAAAGATAACAGTGAAACAGAAGGATGGGTAGTCTCTTCTGAGTCCTGTAGCTTTTTGTCTATCGGTGCAGAGTAAGTGCCCTGATTCTCATTTTATCTGAACGCTCTCCTCAGGCAGGGATTAAACATTAAACCTCAAATTGCCAAATATAATCTGTAACAACATGAAAGACATCAAGGATTAGTTTGTTAGGCTGTTTGAAGGGGTGGGTTTTTTTTCAGGTTCTGTTTTTTGCCAGTTTATTTTCTTGAAAAGATTAATGTAAAACAAGAATTATGTGTTCAGAAAGTAACAGTAAAGATGACTTTGCTGTTGTAAAGTAAATGCCTCTTGTTTGCTGAATTAAACTTGGTTATCCATATAACTTGTTAATTTCAGCATCATTTGTGGCAGAATCGTTGTATTGCAAAATAATTCAACTACAGAAGGGTTACATTGGTAGCTCACAGGCTGGACTAACCTGAGCTGTAGTATATGCTGTCTGACAAACCAGCCTCCTTGTCTGAAAAAAAGACGGGCACCTGAAACTTACTGCCATGTGTGCAAACACCTACCAGAGCAAAAACATGAGATGGCATTCATGTTACCTCTCTAGCTAAGATACTCTGAAAAGACAGGAGTGATATTTTCTCTGGACAAAAATAGAAGGGTTAGAGGCTCCTTGGGAGACCGCAAATTGATTTTTAGACGTTTGGAGTGTAAGGCAATTGTGAACTAGAACATAATTAAGGTAAGAAAGATGATGAGGAAGTATATTTAATTTCCTAATCGGATATTATTAAAATGTGTATTCGGCGACCAGACTAATAAGTAAATTTGAATCCTCTTCAAATACAAAACTGTGAAAAATTGCATGAAGAACACAACTACTGAATAAAAAGAAATGTAAAGCAAAATCGGAAAGCAATGTGACTGCCCTTCAGAGATCTTTTATTCCATTCTGCAGTGTTTTATTGTAGGTGTGGTGTTCTGTGTTCTGTTGCTGTAACTCCTACCCTGTCTCTGTAGGAACTATTAGCTGTTGGTAACAGGGGCTTTCTTGAGACATTTTATTCTACAAATGGATAAGAGTAACTGTTTTCTGAAACTTCAAAATCTCTGTTAAGAGAAGCTTACCATGTAGGACCATCAGCTGAAGCCTGTGGGTTTTTAAAAAAGCAGTTCTCTCTAAACTTCTGCTGTAACCAGTGCTGCTGTCTGCTAATGCTAGTTTCTGACCAGTGAACAATCACAGATTTGCTCACCTCTTTGGACATTTGTATCTCCAAAATATTTCAATATTTTGGGATAGATTTAGATTGCAATTGTTAGAATAGCCACCTGAAAACTCACTAAAGGATCTAGAAAAATGTTTAATGTTTAAACATTGTAACATAATAAACCTAATACTATTCCATATTTCTTCAGATATGAGAATTGGAATGTACATTTCCAGTCAGCTTTATGTCATTCAGCACTAGCTGCTTGTCATGACTAGACAGATATTTCTCTAGATATTGGCTTGTGGGGCAGGATATTTTTTTTGGCTACCATCTTTATTCTTTATTATGTTTTTTATATTGCATTATAATGTTTATTAGCATTCATAGAAAAGTCCTCTAGTATTGATCCAGGACTAAATTATTAAAATATATTTAATCTTAATTAAGCTTGTACTAGACTGAGTACTGTACTTCTCAAATGCAGGAAGATTACCATAATTCTCTGTATTAATTTACAGCTTTTGGGTATTCAGACTGTTTAAGTAAGAGTCCTTTGTCTTAGTATGTTGGTCTTAAAACACTCCAGGTCAAATCCTAAAATAGAAGGAAATTCTTGTGTTGGGATGTTCAAAAGCATTTCTTCCTGGCAGTTGAATCTTTGTATTTCAAAACTATCATCCAGGTTCAGGACATTTCTAAATGCTATGTGTTGCTCTTTCAAGGTACTATCGTGAGGTCCTTCCCGGAGAGATTGTGAAAATATCCAGATACGATGTCCAGACACTAGATGTGGTACCAAGACCTGAAGGAGATCCGTCAGCATTCTGCATCTTTGAATATGTTTATTTTGCAAGACCAGACAGTATTTTTGAAGGTAAGAAGATGTAATGTAAAAAGCTCCTCCCTAAATAGGGGGAGCTGTTATCCTGGAGAATAATGACTCTGGAAAGGATCTGGGATCATAGTAGTGTACCACTGAATGTGAGCTTGCAGAGCAGCATTGGGACAGAATGGGTTGGCACAGTTCTTCAGGAGATAAAACTCATCAGGGGGACCATGTAACATCACCTTCCTGTTCCTGGCTGTGCATATAGCCTCAGTCAAGCTGTGTAGTCCTGTGGAATGGATGAAGAGAGCCACAAACATGATTAAGGTAGAGGAAATATCCTTGAAAGTGAGACACTTAAGAAAGGAACTTTACTGGTTCTTGGAAAACATTTTAAAAATTAGGCTTATGAAATAGGGTCTGCAAAACAAGTTTATTCTGGCTTTTTTTTTTTTTTTAAGAAACGGTTATTTCAGAAAGATGCTTTTAATATAACTTGTAATTCTGTGCATTATCTAAGTACTTGGGGTTGTCAGTTTAATGCTTTTATTATTAATTCAGTAGAAGCCCTCAAAATTTGTCTTGGTGACAAAGTATTAGCCAGGACTATCATACCTAACAAACAGGCTCTTCTTTGCTTTCTACAGCCGTGCCATTTGTTGATCCCATACAGTTCCCTACCCTTATAAAGCCATTTTTACCCCACATCCCTTTTTTTTTCACCCCACATCCCTTTTTTTTTGCTGATCCTCTTACCCTTCAATATCCTCACTTTCTATCACCTCATCACAGTACCTCCAGTTCTCTCCCATGTTGCAAATTTTTTAGGACCTTTAAAAGCTTCTGAGGTCTCTTATCCCCTTGCTAAATTTGGGGTGAATTTTGCCAACTGATTCGATGTTAATGACTGGGCAGAGGCAGACATCAGGATTGCACAAACATTGTCTGCTAGAGAAACCAGCCTAAAAATAGAATATATGCACAGGCATAGAACAGGCTGACATAATTTCTACTTTCCTCCTGTAAATAGATCTTGTAACATCCACAGGATCTTTAGTTACCTGATTAAGGCAAACCGGGTTTTAATTCTCTGTGTCGTGATATGAATGTGACTGTTAGAATATGCCATTATGGAAGGAATCAAAGAATGACCTTATGTGAGTGCTGCTTATTAGCTCTGGAGCTTTTCTCACTGACTTCTGTGCCTCCAACGTGCCACAGAAATTTGTACATCAAACTGAGAGGAAATCAGCATTATTCATACCAGGAAAAACACTTCTTGCTGTTCTTAGGTCAGATGGTGTATTCAGTCAGGAGAAGATGCGGGCAGCAGCTTGCTATTGAAGCACCCGTGGAAGCAGACCTGGTCAGCACTGTTCCAGAGTCTGCAACCCCAGCAGCTCTTGGTTATGCTCAAAAGGTATATGTTAACTTGCCTTTTCTTTTTTCCCAAGCATATTTACACATATCTGGTTTTGCAATGGAGTGTAATGGTATGGGTCAGTTTTGTGTTGATAAAGCTGTCTATCCTGAGTACACCAGGTACTCCTATTCAGTCGTCTGCACTTGTTTTTTCTGTTTTTTGGTTACTGTGAAGTCATACTAAGTTTTAAGGTTGCTTTATAAAAACAGTAACAGAAGAACTAGTTCTTTAGATATTAATTCTGTTTAACTGTCTCCTGTTTACAGTGTGGACTACCATATGTTGAAGTACTCTGTAAAAACCGATATGTAGGAAGAACGTTTATCCAGCCAAATATGAGGTTACGACAACTTGGTGTTGCAAAAAAGTTTGGCGTTCTGTCTGATAATTTTAAAGGCAAGCGAGTTGTTATCATTGATGATTCAATTGTGAGGGGCAATACCATTTCGCCCATAATAAAACTACTGAGAGAATCAGGAGCCAAAGAGGTAAGATAATTTCCAGTCAGTACAATACAGATATAAATAGAAGATTGATGGGAGGGTAAAGCACAGGGTTTTGCCTTCATTTGTACTATAAGTTGTTTGCTTATTTAAAAGGACAAGTGTGCAAAAAAACCAATGGCTAGTGCATGTTTATTGTGAAGATAGGTTAAGAAGTTTCTTTTGTATGACTGATCTTTGGGTGGTTAAGAGGGGAACAGGTCTTCATTTACAAAGCACAACCTGGCAAATAGAGAATGGAAAACAAATTAGTTAAGGTCAAAAAAATCAAGCATTGGTGTGGTATTCTGACATATGTGTGACTTGTGGTACTGCATTAAGTACAACCACATACTGCAGTAAATACCATGTGCCTTAAGTCACTAGAGAACAATTTTTTTAATTGATTAAGATTTTTTTAATTAAAAGGGAGTGTGCATATCTGTCACTGGAGCAAAAATGTTCTAATTAATATTTGACTTTGTAAACTGAAACATGTACATCAAGGATTGAACACAAAATCAGGATGGAACCTTTTCATAATAACATTAGGAAATACTGTAAAGAAAACTGTCTTTCTCCTGCTGTGTTTGTGTCTGAAAAAATCTATCTTACCTCTAACCCTTCCATGACTTCTGTGCAGTGATGTGTTCTGTTCTTCATGATTATTTGGCAGAACTGGGACTTTGCCATTGTGTTATGATCTGCTGACCTCCACCTTATAGCAGTCTGTTTTGAAACTGTATTTTTATTCAGGTGCACATCCGTGTGGCTTCACCTCCCATAAGATTTCCTTGTTACATGGGAATAAACATTCCAACAAAAGAAGAACTCATTGCCAACAGACCTGAATTTCATGATCTTGCAAACTATATAGGTAAATGCTATTCTTTTTAATTTTTTTTTTTTTTAGAGTTTTCACCTGTAGGTATTTTATTGTCTACATCAAAATAAAGCACAATGCATCAAGGCAACAGTGGCAAAACTGACTGAAAAATCATAAGGGTGATACACTGAATCTCTGCATTTTCAGTACCCTATGGATCAAATCAATTTAGCTACACACCTTTTTTTAATACAGTTAATTGTATTTCTCCAAACAATAGAAAGCATTAGAATAATTGCATAATCATAAATTACAAATAAGGTGTGACAACACAGCTTTCCAATACTTGGAGCTCCTTCAGGGAAAGTCTTTACAACAAGGAGCTACTGCAGGCAAAATACCAGGAAGAAAATATATGGTGAAAATCTGTCCTGTAATGAAAAGCTAATGTAGTTTCATTTCCATATCACATCATGAGATATTCATAAAACTATGTTCAAAATTTATAAACACCCACTGATTTTTCTACAAACTTACGTAAATAATTTCAACTGCATTATATATTTCATTTTGAAAGAAATGACATTTGAAACTAATCAAAGAATGTTAAATACATTCTCAGATCTCTAGAATGAGTCATGATTGCAGCAGTACAAAAGAAGAACCAACAGCTTATGTTGCTTATGATGTGGTAAATAACGTGCTCTTCACCAGGATATCAACAACAGAAGTCATGTGAAGGCTTGTGAGTGAGGAGATCTACTATATATGGCCTATTGTGCTGAAAAATGTTTTTAAAAATGGTTTAAGAAAATAGCTGTGGTTGCAGTTAGAAAACTGTAAACTCGGGTTTCCTGTGTTAAATACTTGCTCTCACTAATATTGCAATGAATTCTTTTCCCCAAAATTATTGTGAGGGCATGGTGAAACATTTCAGGTTCATAGGATCTCATTTTTATTATTCACAAAATGAGTGCAAATGATAGAAAACTAACGATGTGAAAAGGCTATCAAACTTTCCTACTGCTAGAACATTTGCATGAACTGCATACCGAATTTTTTTTCACATGCTGGTCTTCCCCCGCTCCAAGTCCCAGTAAGGGTTTGTAATCCTAGGTGCACAGTTTGGGATGCACCAGCCATGCCCACATCTGCCTCCAGACCTGAACTACAGGGTAGCTCTGGGAAACTACAGGGAGTTTAGGGAGTTGTAATACGCACTCTGGACTTTGTTTCTATTTTTGCAGTATGTGTGACGTATTTGTTCCCGACTCAGAACCTTCTGTCTAGATTTACTGAAACCTAGTCTGCTCCCTGCACAAAGAATTTGAGAAGGGCAAGGCTTATGGTCTGATAATTTTTCATATCCATTCTCTTTAGGTAAGGTGATCCACCTCCATACAATAATGTGACTGCATTTCCAAAGAGCATTGCACTTGGTACAATATTGCAGCTTTAACTGATGAATTCTCTATTTCTTCTAGGAGCAGACAGTGTCGTTTATCTTTCTGTGGAAGGGCTGGTATCGTCCGTGCAAGAAAGCATCAAAGCAAGACAAGAGAATGAGAACAGCCTTAAAACCCAGAAGTCGCGTGTTGGAAAGATTGGTCACTGCACAGCGTGTCTCACTGGAGAGTATCCCGTAGAGCTGGAATGGTGAATTGTTAGTGGATGGACATCAGTTCATCTGTTGTTGAATGTAGCTTTTTCAAAGATGCCTTCTTGCTAATAGTCTTCTTACCTTTAGGTAATATGGAAAGCTTATTACAGCTAACTAATTACTGTTACTAAAACACACCTTTACAATAAAGACTTACAGAAAGTCTGATGTGCTGACGAAAACAATGTAAACAGATTAAAATCACATAGTTTTGATGCACAGCTGTGCCTTCTATTTTCTCATAAAATATTGTAAAAACCAAAGCTTTTCTGATTGTGTAGAAGTCCCAGAGTTTTTTGTTTTTGTCTTGCCCTGAAATATATCCCTATTAGACCTGTTCATAAATTGTGAATTATGTAGTATAATTTCAAATTATCAAAGTCTTAATGCAAAAGTATGTGACGTTGGCTTTTCTTCTTAGGAAAAATATTAGATTCTGAAGAATCAAGTGGTTTCCTCAGCAGTTCTTTCTTAGGCTTTTTACAAATAGAAGTATCTAACTTTTGCATATATAGCCTTTATTAATTAACCCCTTTGTAACAGATTCTATGAACATAATGTCTAGCATATGATTTTAAAAAATGAACTCAGGGAAATGCTCAGCCAAAAGCTCTCTAGTTCTGTAAGTTAAAAAAAATATTTTTGAAGTCCAGTGTAATTACATTATGTTATTTTATCAGTTGCCAATAGGATGTGGAAGGAGAAAAAATACTTGGCACTGCCATTTTTTCTCTGTTTTACATGTTTTCTCCAGGATAAGTCCCAACAATTTCTGAAGTCTGAGCTAATGCTCAGTGTGCTTTTCGTATGTCAACATTCAAAGTAAACTGAAAAATAAACTCATTTTTGATTTTTAACAGTAAAAATGATATATCAACTGAAGATTATAAGTTGTTTTGGGTATAGTCTTATTTTACTATATTACTGCTGTTACAATAAATGTAATGTTTTTAAAAAGAGTTCTGAAGAACCATTAGCTATTCAATGCACTGTATTTTTTAATTGGTTACAATTACATGATTACTTGTATAATGAACCACTAGCTGAAAATGGAAATGCACCTTCGAAAACTATTGCAAATTTATGCACAATTGTAAAAATATTTTGTATACCTCAGTTTTTTTCACTGAATACCAGCAATTTAATTTTACATTTTCTATTTAATATTGTGTATTTTGGCCTTATAATAGTTTGTGACACTGTTAAAAAAAAAAAAAAAAAGTTTAAGAGCTTCTTCCTTCCACATAGTTGAGAATTAACAGCACTGGTGATTAAACTCAAAAGGGAGCTTTCTTTTGTGGGATTTTTAGCAATTGTGCCTGATAGACAATCACAACACAAAAGTCCCAATTCAAGAGAGCATGTACATACATTTAATGAGGTCATGACTGCCTCATGCAGGGGAATCAAAACCTACTTGCAGTGAAGCCTATGGGAGAATCTAGATTTTCATAAGCATTGGGCTCTTACTGTGTGTTCTTCACCAAAGCCCAGATCTGCATATTGGGGGATTTATGTGGATCTTTTCTGTCTAATTAGCAAGTCTGTTTTTTTAACAGAACCATTAACAGTTCATCTGGTCAGTAAACTGAGCAAGAAAAGAGCAGGGGTGGAGTACCTCTGACCATTCCCTCTTGCAGATTAACCAAGGAGTGTGAGAAAACAGAAAAACTGTCATTAATATTTTTCACCTCTTTTTTCCTGCCCTCGAAAAAAACTTTTTGAAAGAAGGGATAAATCGAGCTCATTACAGATACGTGTGAGGAGCCCTTTCTACTTGAGATAAAAAACTTAGGTGCACAGTTTAACAAGGCTGCAAGCAGAAGTCTATTGATTTATCTGAAATTTTCAGTAGAAGATTGTAAATGGAAATTGTGCAAATACTCTTTTAATGTGTTTTCAACAAAACTGGTGTTTTTGAAGTCTGGTGATAATCGCTTAAATGTAATTTGAGCATTAGGTGGCATAATTCTGATTTCAATAAAGTGAGTCCTAATGCCTTTTTTCCCCTCCATGTTATGCATGTGAAATTACAAGGTCTGCTACTGTATGCACTGTAATTTTTAGATACACTACATGACTAATCGTTAGTACCTGTTTTTCAAAACTTTAAGCTAAAGGGGAAAACTTTTCAAGTGTCATTTTGTTCTCCAGCAACTGGATTTATGCTTCAGATTACCAGGCCTTTTATCACGCACAGCAGACACACATGCAACGAGTATAATGAGAGACAACACTCTGGGTTTAGGTGTAGCTACTTGTGTTATTTTAATGCTTTACTGTGAAACTGTTTCTGCTGTATTATCAACGTGCAACTGTGCCATATTATCGTTTACAAAATGTGTCAAAACAGTAGAAAGCTAATGTCTAACTTTTCCCATGCGTAATATTAAAAAACGGTTATGAACTGGTCTTCTGGGTCTCTCTCCCTTCACTGCACTCGCCCGCACCACGCATCGAACGTTTCTTTATTAAAGTCGCATTGAAAGCCCCTCGAAGCTGGAACAAATCACTCCGTGTCTCCCACTAAACCCTCCCGATGCTGCACTCCCACAGCCCCCTCCCAACGCCGCCTGCCGGCCCCCT